TCCTTGAGAGGGCATGGTGTTTTCTTTCATGTCTGATCTGACCAGCTACAAATCAAAATAAAAAAAGAAGTAACTTCCATAACAAAGGTACGGGTCGAGATTTAGATCTTCGAGGAAATGAGAAGTACATATATCTATGGTCGAGCTATTGAATCAAAGGTTTTCCAAGCTACGACTTGGTTCAAATCGTCACCTACATGTTTTTAACTCCCTCAAATCGATAGCAGTGGGAAATATTCTAGAGAATCAAGATCTATCATATTGGAAGATTTTGGCAGGTGAGGGGAGGCATTAAATATCAAAATCACGCACAGTTACAAGAAGGGTTATTGTGGAACAAATGATAAATACTACATGAGGTGGGATTTTTTTTTTTTTATATATATATATATATATATATATATATAAAGAAAACTACAACACTATAGTCTACTATCACATCCGGCTATTAGCAATCCAAAAGGCAAAAATGAAAGGGATGTCTTACTTTTAATAGCATTTTCGCCCTTGGCAATTATATATAGACTACCAGATTTTCCCAAGAAATAGAGCTAACAAAGTAAATAAACTTATGGCTATTATGGTACCAAAAAGTAGGACCTGTGATTCCAATTTTATGCTGTTTTATCTTCTTCTAGATCACCAACTGGATTGTCGCTTCCACGCAACGGTTTAACATCTGGTACAGTCCGAACATCCTTTGAAGGTGAGGAAATTGGAGATGGTCTTATGAGTGTTAGATTTGTATCATCCTTGTCGAACTCTTCGTGTGCATCTTCGGAGTATGCATACCTGAGAAACATAGAGGATGAGATGATATAGACTGGTAGAGGGGCGGGTAGAGAAACTGTGTGTCGAAATTTACCGCATTGAGTTTTGAGAGGGAGCCCAGAGAGCACAAATGACACACAGTAGAGAAAATGATAAGATTTGCCAGAAGGCAGGAATAATCCATGCATTTTGCCACTGCTCATTGTAAATGTCATTTGATTTGAAATAAAGCTGCAAGAATACGTTTAAGAAAATGCAGTCAGCGTGTTTGGGACGAAGTTACGAAAAACGACAGTGACTGTTCACATGAACCTGCTGCAGTTTCAAGTAAGTTTTAATTTCTCTAAAAAAAAAAACTATGCATGAATGGAACATGTCGATCGTGTTTTTAACATGATAGGAACACGTCTTCATGCACAAATTACCTCATAACACATCCAGCCCACCGATACAATAACAGTTACCGCCAATGCATTTGTGAATTTTCTGTAAATGTCCAATTTAGTCGTCAACCTTCTAGCCTGTGATATCGATAACAATGGAGGAAAGCCAGGCAGTAGAAGTTATAACACAATAAATGAAAAAGAAATTTACATCATTAGCATAAAATGAGAAGGTAAAAGATAATATTAGACTTGGGCAGGAATATTAGCAAGAGAAAGCATAATTTTAGCAGAAAATTGCAGCAAATGATATCGCTTCCACTGAATCTATGTTTCAATTAGAAGCTCAACGTCTAACGCCATGCTTTCCATCATACCAACCTACTCCATCGAACTATATTTTGATTAAAACCAGATTACTTTCTCAGTATTCGTCAGGAAACCATTTGCTAGGAGGAACTTAATCTTAAAATATTTAAACTACAAAAAAAAAAAGGAGTACAAATAAAAAATAAGTGCTACGAACAAACCAGCTACCTGAAGCTTGCTTAACGTTGCGGAGAGGGAGGTAAATATCCAAAGAATGAAGAAAGCATCCAAGATTGCCACGGGTAGAACCAAGAAAAGTCTAGCTTTTCCTGAAAGATCACTTACAGCACCCACATTCTCAACCAATTCAAGAACTTCAGATGCCAGAAAGAAGGTTAATCCAAGCATGAGAACTTTTGATGTCAGTCCACCCAAAGTTGGTCTAACAACACCATAACCCATTGAAACCATCAAAAGTATCAGACGTGCAATTGTACGCTTAACAACACCAAAGGTGACAGCCCACATAGTAATCCCTGTTGGTCTTATCCCAGTTTGGTTGAATTCAGCAAACTCAAAATACCACATAGCCATCTCAAACATCCCCAACGTTATGACAACCGTAATGCAGTTCTGCAATGGAAAAACTTCTTTCCAGAATCTTGCATACTGTGAGAACCAAAAGATTCCAAGCAACACATAAGCAAAAGACATATACAAATAAAACTTCATTAAAGGCGCCATTCTACCCGGTAGGTATCCAGAAGGATTTTTCCATATAGTTTTCCCCTCGACAACCACATTTTGAAGCTTTGGATCACAATGGATGAAATACAAGTTATACATTCCCGTTTTAGTAATCTGAATCGATTTTGTTGCCAGGGTTGCAACTTTCTCATCTTTGTTGAAAGAGACTCCATAAACTTGAGGCCAACCAGAATTCTTCGAGGACGGCCGGTAAATAATTTCACCTTCTGAACAAACACCAAGTTTAGCAAGATCTACAGTACAACAGATTGCCCTTTGGCCACCATAGGCTGAGCCACCAACCATCTCTCTATCTTCCACCTCAAAAACTATTGCATGCAATGGCCCAGAGCTGAAGTTGGAGAACTCCTCTGGTCTCCGAAATGTAATTTTTTCGAAGCTGGTTTGACAGTACACTATATAATAAGGTAACTATCACAACAAAGACAGAATAAGAAATACACTGACTCCACAGAAGTTAAACCTAGATAGATAAATCCTAACATTCAAACAAGCTATCGAGACTTCCCCAAAATTCTAGCTAACAGTAAGCCCAAAGCGTATTGATAAAAAGCAAGCAAGCAAGCAACATTAACACGCTTTCGTTAATGACACATAACAAAATTCATACGAAGATGGAAACCAAAATCACATAAAATTGCAAAACAATCCAGCCTAATCTCGAATTAACTCATCGTTTCCGCCATTCATTGAAACAGAACCGAAAAACAACGAACACATCGACAACCACATAAACGGATCAGAAAACACATACCGAATGTAGGAATCAGCATTGGTAGAAGAATCCACATCGGCACCGTTGCGGTCAGCGTTAGAAGAGCGAATTCCCTCGCTACCTCCATGGACGACAAACGCATTGCCTTTGTTAACGAATATCTCACCAGAATAGTGGTGGACTGAGGCGTGAATGCACAGGGACCAAGCACATACTAGCAGAGTGAAGGAAAACAGTACCCGTTTAGAAGAAATGCAAAACAAAGACATGGATTACAGCCGGAGCTTCCAAGAGAAAGAAGATTCAGAGCAGCAAAAGCTTGGATCTGCAGAATTCTTGCTTGCTTTGCTTGACCGCCAGAGAGAGAGAGAGAGAGAGAGAAAGAGAGCGCGAGATCTGTGACTGAGTGTGAGCTCTGAGGCGAATTAAATTAAAAATCGATAAATGGAGTTCGAGTTAAAGTAAAAAGAAATTATGTAATTTTGTATTTCTTTTATTGGGAGGGACACGTGTGGGTTTCTGGACGGCTTGATTTATTTGGGTCTTTGCCTTTAGAGCCGTTGGATTTATTCCGCTTCACTGTCGGTGTATGGCTATAAATAACAATAGATTGAGAATTTGGGCTCATTAAATTAAAAAGCTCCTTTTACTATCATGGATAATAAGGAATTTTTTTTTTTTTTTTTTTTTTTTGAAAATGTAATAATGGAAATAGAGAAGTTGACTTGTCGAGACAGGATTATATTATCCGTCCCCGTCCAATTTTTCACTCGCCCTGGCCTAATAAACTAAATAATATGTTATTATTTTTATTTATTTATTTATGAAAACTACGTTTTATATATATATATATATATAATGTAAATTAGTTAATTTTGAGATTTTAATGTAATATTTAAACTAAATATAATGTCGTATATTTTCTTAACCATTAAAAAAATTAAAAATTAAGACTATGTTATAATATTAAATTATGAATTTTTAAAAATTATGTTGGTACGATATTACCTCTCTATATATATATACGCGCTTATGAAATATATTAATTTATTGAGATTTTTTTTTATAAAAATTATATTGAAAAATAAAAACTTTATCATAATAATTTTTTTTAAGGAATAATAAATAGAAAAATAAAATTATGCCCGAAGAACTAATCTTTACAAATTGAAATTCCCACAAAAATAAATGGAGATTTGACGGAAAAAGAAATAAAATAGGTGAAGGGAGGCTTTCCGGTCCTCGCCCCTTACGGTCTCTAAATTGAAAGGGAAGATTTAAAAATCTATTAAAATGTTTTAAAATTTTAAATTTAATCAAATATTATCTTCATAAATTTATTTTTTATTTTTAATTAAGTCATTGTCGTTTGATAATAACTCTAAACATAACTATTGAATCGTGCTCCTCTACATCGAACACTATATTAAATTCCTTATAAAAGTGTAGAAACTTCTTTCGAACATATGTTTTTTAAAACTGTTAGGTTGTGTCGATGATACATAACGAGCAAAAATAGACAATATCTACTAACAGTGGGCTTGAGCATTACATATGATATCAAAGTTAGACACTGGACGGGTGTTAGTGAAGACGTTGGACCCCCTAAGGGGTAGATTGTGAGATCCCACATCGGATGGAGAAGAGAATACGTGTCAGTGAAGATGTTGGACCCCCTAAAGGGTAGAGTGTGAGATCCCACATCGGATGGAGAAGAGAATGAAAAACATTTTTTTATAAGGGTGTGAAAGCTTCTCCCTAACATGCGCATTTTAAATTCATGAGGCTGATGGTAATACGCAACGAACTAAAGCGGACAATATCTACCAGTAGTGGGCTTGAGCTGTTACAGTTTCATATTAGAAAATTTAGATTTCTGTGATGAACCCCTCTAACAACCCCCACAAATCGTGCTCGTGCTCCCCTGGAGACATCAAAGATTGTTCTTATTAAAAGCTCGCTCAAAGGTTCAAACACACGACATCTAAGTACGTGTACCGCCCCGAAAGCACAATAAGAAGGAAGCCTCCGTAACTCAAGAACCTGGGTCGGGGTTGGATTAAGAGGAAACGTTTTTTATTTATCGAATAAAACATTACACGAGAAATCGAAGGTCGAAAATATAATGTTTAGAAACTAATGGCCACAAAAATAGGCTCTCAATTGTTCATAAAAAAACCAACATATGATCAAATTGTGAACACAGCTATTAGTCCAGATCAAGAAACTCCAGTCTTTTCCTAATTGTCCCTTTAAGATCTGTAGCCTCTCTCTCTGCTTTTTGAGCCTGCAATAACAGTTTTTAGTTTGTAAATACCAAAAAGGGTTCGGTTTGACATGGGCATGCGGTCATGGGCAACATACCCTGGATGAGCATGACCATGACACTAAGCACACAGAACACTAATCTTCAGACATAAGCACAAAGGGTTCGACGTGACATGGGTATGAGGCCACGGGCAACACACCCTAGATGAGCATAATCGTGATACTAAGCACACAAAACACTAATCTTCAGACATAAGCAAATCTATGTCGTGTTTTCCAATAAACGTGGAAACGTTTAAGAAATCCAATGGACGAGTCAACATCACTTACCCTTTTAATCTCCACAGCAGAGACATGAGTCATGTGTGGAGGGAGCTCCTCTTTCTCCATGTTCTATAAAGCCCAAAACAAAAATTTTAAGAGAGTAGGACAGCTAACAGACAAATAATGAAGACAAACAAGTGAATCTCTAAGATTTTGTCCTACCAGCTCGCCCAGTAAAACGACGTTTTCGCCTCGAATTACATAGAGACCTAAAGGAATATCGCTGTAAAGGTCACCAACAATCACTCTTTCACAGGATCCTTCAAGAACAGCATTTGCTGAAACATAGAAACAATTAGTTCTCCACGTGAATGTTAAACCCATATAAAATTTCAGGAAGAACTATACCAAATTGATCGAATGAACGGAGGATTCCTAATAGCTTTCGACCATCTCGAAGTAGTACAAGAACCTTCTCTATAGAACGAAACGATCATTAGAACCGCAATTCTAGCAAATAGCAACACTAGCTTTTTAATCCTTCTCTAAAAGAATGCAGACATGCTGAACAATAATTTAGAAGGTAGCTGTAAAACATCCTTTTAGCATTTGGTACAGGGAAGATCAGACCTATCCATAGCGTAAGGAAAAGTTATCTTCTATCCCCTTGAATTCTCCTATTTGCTCATGTCAAATCAAAGTTGAAACAAAGGTTTTCAAGGCCGGGCTAGATAATTGCATACGGTGATAGGTGAGGTAAAGAGAGTGAGATCCCACATTGGTTGGAGAGGGGAACGAGTGTCCACGAGGATGCTAGCCTCGAAGGGGGGTGGGATTGTGAGATCCCAAATTGGTTGGAGAGGGGAACGAGTTCCAGCGAGGACACTGGGCTTGAAGGGGGTGGATTGTAAGATCCCACATTGGTCGGAGAAAGGAACGCGTGTCAGGGTCACGCTGGGCCCTGAAGAGGGTGGATTGTGAGATTCCACATCGGTTGGAGAGAGGAACGAAACATTTTTTATAAGGGTATGGAAACCTCTCCCTAGTCGACACGTTTTAAAAACCTTGAAGGGAATCCCGAAAAGAAAAGTCTAAAGAAGACAATATCTGCTCGTAGTGGATTTGGACTGTTACACTGAGGGTAAAACGTCTTTCACCCTTAGACTCACCATGGCAAGCTCTTCAAAAAGGTGGGTAGAATTTCACAGAGGTTCCATAATCTCTTGAAAAGAAGAGGGAATCAAAGGCATTCACCAAATAAGACACAAATGGTTGCTAAAACCACTACAACAAAGTGCATTTGATTCAAATATCTTCATTTACATTACTAAACTGTTATCCAGAAAGGATAAATGGATGCTCATTCATGTGTCTAAATAAGCTTGATTGGGTGAAAGGTTTTTGAATCAAAGAGCTGCAATACAGAACAATTTGATACTCTCAAACCCCATGATGATCAAGAGATAGATATCACATTACACAACAGAGGCAAAACCCATGAAGCCAGTGATATTAAATTTCAAAATTAAAAAGGAAAATGAGTATTAATTTGTAAGCATCGAAAGAGAAGCAACATACTGTCAAGGTAATTGGCAAGAGAAGTTGAAAGGTAAATATCTTCCGCGCTTGCCCACGACATCGACGACCTTTAACACTTAACTCCAAACCAAATAAATGGGCATTGCCTGCTTAGATTCCTATCCAATTCTCAACCAATCCCTCAAAATCCTTTCACAATTTCCTCAAATAATCTGTCTTCACCATCCACAAATCCTTCGAAACTAAGAACAAACGATTCAAAACGAATCGAAAAGGGGAAAGAAGGGCAAAGATTCAATTTCTACAAACAGAGCGAAGATGAAATTGGGGGAAAGGGCTTCGTGAGAGACAGACTTAAACGTGGCGGAAGCCCGGAAGAGATTCAACTCCGGCTGCAGTGTTGGTCTGGATTTGGTTTGGTACTTCATCTCATGCGCCTTTGGATATGTAGGGCTTTATTATTTATTTATTTAATAATTAATTTTCAAGGCAATTTGGATTGAGAAATTATGATTAACTTTTAGAGTAAGTTTATGGGGTTAGAAAATTGGTGTCCATTTGGATTCTTATGACTTATAAATCTAAGTTATTTTTGTGAAAAATGCAACGGAAAGCTTCACTCCCGAACATGTCCCTTCTTTCATGGTAAATAAAGTAGCCTCTTTCTTCTTTTCGCTCCTTCATCTTTTTACCTCGATGAATAGGATGAAAAGAGAAATTCAAGCAAAAACAAGTACTAACTCCGAAACTTTACATGAGAGTAAATTAATGAAATTCTCCCTTTTAAAGTTAGTTGTTTCATAGTGTTTAGAATCAAACTTAACCGCTCAATCACCTATTTATTGTCGAACTGTGAACTCTTGATCTAATCTCATACGAGATTTCTCACCATAAACATAACTTAATGTTAATATTATCAACCAAGAGCAAAAATGGGGGCAAAAGATGGGAGGAAAACGGAGCCCAACAACAATGTCTTGGTAACTTTATAACAATACAAAATGTTATTTGCCTCGAATATGTTACAAAGAGAGACCCCAACATTAAAGAAGGAGAAGAATTATATGGTAAAATAAAGTGAAAAATGTAAAGCTCTGTCATCATAGAATCTCTTTTGACGATGTATCATAACATGAGTTGCACTGTTTTCGTAACATACAACCATGAAAAAAAAGGAGTAATCAGCACCGTCGATCAGATCTATATTTTTACTGTGATGAACAACATCTCAACTGTTGGATCCATATCATCAAATCAAAGGGTGGAGTTTGAATATCTGGAAAAGTCATTTTTGGAGATGGAATTTGAAGATCAGTCATTGCCAAGTTAAAATGAACCATACTGAAAAAGTGAGACCAGAAAAGGTGTTACCTTCTTCAAATCAGTTGGATGGGGAATTGGTTAGAGAAGGAGATGGAATTATATCTCAAGAACAATATCTGCAATTTGCAAAACAAGAACTTTGTTAGAGAAAGCTAAAATCTTGTGATGTTTTAGGATGGATTTATGAACAAGCTATGAACTTACACTCGGAATCGGTTTTGACCCATTTGGATCCATCTTTAGCATTTCTCTGCTCTTCTTCTTCTGCTTCATTTCTGTTTTTTGGTGACTGTTTTACCTCTATGTACCTCTTCAACGACGATGACGATCGAGAAGCGTTTTGTGGGGCAATCTTCTTCTGGAGAATTGTTCTTAAGAGCTGCCATTGAAATGGAAAGATCATTAGATTCAAAAGCTGAAATTATGCAGCAAAAATCAGAGTTGAAGAAGCTGTTTTTTAGTTTGTTTTGTCATTACCTTTTCCATTCTTGACTCTTGTAGAGTCTCTCTCAAACTTGGTGGTGGTATAGGAGTGAAGCCATTTCTACAAACAAACAACTTTTTGAGCAGAAACGACACGGATTTCTTCCCGATCGCTTTCTTTTTACTATCGGCGCAAATGTCCTTACATTTGCCAATTATAAGACTAATGGTCCTTTCAATATCTTCATCTTTATCATCAGAATCACAGCTGAGGGGATTGCTGATTCTCCTGTCGACCTCCAAGCTTGAAGGGCAGTTGAGAAATCTATCCAATGGAAGATCTGCAACCTGCTTTTCGGGATTCGGTTTGCGAGATAAAAGCTTTGTCAACTCCTTCTGTAATTTACCAACTTCTTCAGGAGAGAAATCTATTATTTCTTCTGAAGAAGATGGATCCTCCTGTATGTCTTGTCTTCTCTCAGAATCATCTTTGATCTCATTGTTGCCAAAAGTTCCAATTGCAAGCAACCCATGAGGCCAATCGCTGAACTCTTCACGAGACTCTTGTTTTTTAAGCTCTGCAAATAGGGAGATGGAAAATATTCAATTTATATTGAAGAAAGTATTCCTGTAATTTACAATACTTCACCATTTCAAAGATCCAGAAGAGAGAGAGAGAGAATAATTTCATGGTCCTATAAAGTAAGAATGTATAATAATATATATATATATATAGTCCTGGGATCTGATTACTGGTTGGTTTGCAGTCCTAAACTAGAGCTAATGAAAGTGGACAAAAAAGGAAATGTAAAACAATGGTAAATTTTGTACATTAATATTTGTTTTTAGGGGTCAAGGGAACAAGGCACATGAACCCAAGTATTGAGGTTAGTGATTCAGGCTACCTTTTGAATCGTGTCCTCGTTTGCATTGGGATCTTGATCCAGCTAACTAAACTTCGGATCCAACCAAAAACCATTTCACTAAATCTATTTTCCACTGTTGTTCCTTCTCCAAGTTGATATCTTAAAACAATTAAACCATACAATCTCAACTTGAACAAGAAACAAGATTTAAGAACACAAATCTTTGACTCATCTATATATACACACATCATTCATGCAAATGAACACTCTACATGCCAGTTTGAAAACAGAGAATAAAGAAGTTCATAGCATAGAGGAAAAAGTGGAGCAAAAAAGAGAAGAAAAAGCTTACGAGAAGTAGAGAATGTATTTGGGATTTTCTTCTCGTGTCTGCCATTTAGTTTAGTTTGCATCCAGCTGAAGAACTGCATTGAAGAAATGGAGAGAAAAAAATAAATCAAGCTTCCATCAAACTACATTACAGAACATGAAGTGTAAATTTTGAGCTAAAAATTAAGCTCACCTTCATCTTCAACTAACGATACAATTTGAAGCTGTTTAGAAAAATTGGAGAGCGGTGAAGAAGATTATGAGGTGTTGTGTCAAAACAGAGAAGTTCAGAACCAGATCTTTAAAAGCCAATGGCGAGTATTGGGATGATCAAAACAAGTGAAGAGTTTTGACAAATTTGATGCTGAAGCTTTCTCAATCACAGCAAGTTATAATGGTTCAAGTTCCCAAACAGTGGCCTCTCAGTTCTCACTCTAAACCCTCCTTCTCCTTCTCCTTCTCCTCCTGAAAGTTGTTGCTGGATTCTTCCTCTTATACACCTCCAAATGCACATACACCACTAGCATGAAAAACATTCTCTATAAAATTGAATAATTTAATTCCTGTAATTTAATAAGACTACAACAGGAGGATTCTGCGGGTTCAATTCTGGAACATCCTCTATACAACCGACCGTGTCAAAATCTGGTCCGTCAGATCTTGAGATGCAAATCTACGACAACGGCTAAATAGAAAAGGTGGAGTTGATCCCCATACGTATTTAATCTAATGGTAAATAGAATTACACGGCATTCACTGTTCACAGCGAGAATTTTTACTGTACAGTGTAGTCAATTTAAAACATTACTCCTTTCCAGATATGCTTTTACCATTCGATATAATTTCCTCACATCACAAGACATTGATACAGGAACAAAAACGCATGCATGTAAGTATAACAATATAAAATCAATGATCGATAATTTTAATGAGTTATAGATAGCAAAACAATGTAGGATCATTAATACTTTGATCTAATTAATAATTTTATTTAGGGGTATAAACTTATAGTTCGTATCTACATTATGATATACAGGATCAAATTTTTTAGAAAACTCTCCAACACTTCTAGTTGGATAATGCCAAAAAGCTAACCCAATTCAAAGGAGAATATTTATAATTTTACAATAGTTCTTTTAAAAAAAGATAACAATGTCTCGGGAGTCGGGCCCTACCACCATTAATCTGACACCTACGTCTACCCAGGCCCAAGTCATAATAATAATTACTATTATTATCATGTAAATAGATGAAGACATAATTATCATTTCATAAATGGATGGTTTAACCTCAATTTTGCATGATTGAACTAAATACGATACGTAAATATACTAATAATCATGCAACTCCCAACCTAGCTTCCAATGATTTATACTTTCACTAAGATCTATCGAATTAAAATGAAAAAAAAGAAAAAGAAAAGAACACAATTGGTTGAAAGCAAATCTAAAATTATTAAGCCAACTCACTTTAAAATGTGTATGTATATATGTATTCCATCAATAAATATTATACTCTTATACTTCAAAAAAAACTTAAACTATTAGAGATCTTTAAACTCACTCAAAAGATAATATTTTGCATGTCAATAGGTATAGCAGACGTGACATCGTTATCCTTTCAATAATTCCTTCTATTTCAAACTAGATAGAATAAATGAAAATTTTAAAACTTTAAACAAATTTTACAAACAGACTATTAAATTTTTTAAAAAATCAAATCACAAAACAATTTAAAAAGTAAAAATAAAAGAACACCCAAATAATTCCTAAAATAGATTGAAAATTAAGGATTCATAATAAAATTAGATAAACCAGAAAAAAGTACAATTTGTATCTCGGTTTTATCTTCTTGATTTGAGTCTTGATATGCCACAGTAAAAGTCTAACAAGATCTATTAGAAATTCAAATCCTGTCTTCTAATTACGTTTATCTATTAAAAAAAAAGTCGGTAATTTATAAAAAAATTCTTAGTTGGAATTTGAAAACTTGTACCGAGAAATTAATAATATTACATTGTCGACCATTTTTCTAAGAAATCATAAAGACCCCATTCTGATGGCTCATGGAGAAACAATTATAGCAAATTTTCTGAACTGGAAAAAATTGAAGACTTCCTCATATGGAAACAGCCAAAAATTTCGAGCCAAGGAAATTCTTCGAACTGGGGTTCATCTCGAAGTTTGCATCTTCGAAATTCATTATATTTGGATCTTCTATTTGTATTTTTATTTTGTTTTCTTATAGTTTTAATATTCTTTTTTAGTGGCTTAAAAGAATTATGTATCTTTACTATATTTTATTCATTAATCATTTTAATAAAAGATATCCATATCAAATTTCTATTATTATTCATTGAAAAATTAAAGACACTACAGAAGCCATAAAGCTTCTTCTTATAAGTGTATAAACACAAGGCACAAGCCATAGGCTAAGGGTTTCTAATAAGAAAGAAAAGGAAAAGGCTTCGGAGCTGAAAGCTTCGGCCTAGTTCAGCTTTAAGAAACATGATATCCTTTTAGGAACATGCTTACTAAATAAAGCACCATTATATGGAGGAACACACGGTTCCTAGAGTTACTCCTTAAGTTATCGTTTTACCAAATTCACAAATTTTTCTACGGTTATCCAAACTAATTACTTATGAATTCTAATCCAAAAGGACCCTATGAAAGGAACTCTTTATAGATTTTCACAACATAATAAAGAAGGTAGGAATTCCTATCCTCATAAATAGAATATGGGGTGGTCCTTTCTCGATCTATTCCAATTATTTACCATAAACAATCCTAATACACTATTTGTGTCATGTGAACTGTGATTGTCCACGCCCATATTGAAGTGATTGATTGTATCTTCTAACTTTCATTGTATAAAACAAGTTATACGATAAGATTAAATTCTTATACAGTCAACATCAATCATTTTTGTAATATATTCACTAGCATGCAGCTACCTTGACTATTCCAAAAAATAACTAAAAAAAATATCTTATATCCCAAGTAGGCAGTCATATTATGGTCCAAACTTATTCCCTTTCAAGTCTTTTATTATTCACATAGTTTTTGTAGCCTACAATGTTAACTCATGATGGTTCAATCTACTGTAATATATCAAATTCATTTGAATAGTGAAAATTAAAAGTATGCACAACTAGGGATGACAACAAAAACCCACGGGCCCACCTCAAATGGGGCAAGGGATCTCTGATTTGAATGGGTATGGAAGTCAAACTGGGATTTCTTTTCAAGTCCCAATCGGAAACGGAAAAGGTATCCTTGCCCCATCCATGACACCGGACCCGTCCCAAGCCTCTTCTAGTCCACAATGTCCAAGAGTTATGAAAGAGAATTTATTTAGGCTACTACTACTTTTGAGTGACTAGCTCTTTTGCACCATGGCGCCTATATGGCATGACTAGACATGATTATTCTAATGCCAATATTCATGCATTTTTCTCTTACCCTTCAACTTCAATTTGAATCAAGTCTTTTTATTGATTAAGTTTCAACATCTTAATATAAATTACCTAGAGAAATGTGATATTGGTTTGAATTATAGGACTCATGATGCACAACGCATGCACATCAATCAATATTGGAGACCTTTTAGTTTCTGACCCTCCGTTTTAGGCTTAGGGACTCCACATCTCTAAGGCTTTTAGGCAAAGATCTTCCTCTTTCCATGTAAAAATATATATAGGATTCATACCATGGGTATGCAACTAAAGCCCCTAGATAAAAGGAAGATCAAAGATATATAGTTGGAGAGACACCATCTAAATCTTTTACATGAAACCAAAATTATGAGAGCTTATATTCAAAGTAAACATTATTATCATACAGCTGTCTAAATATAGACGTGTAAAATATCTATTATCTCTAACACCATAGCACAATTCACCTCAAAACAACCCAAAATTTGATCAAGTTACTTCTGTCACTACTATGCTCAAATTTCTGACCATATCTAGGCACTCGTACTATCAATTTTACTTGCAAGCTTTTAGTGGCAGGTCACATATAAATCTAATGACTTCAATTTTTTAGCACAGCGCTAGAAATTATTCCAAATTAGAGAATGGAGTGAGATAAAATCACCCCAGTAAGTGGCCCCCCTTTAAAACTTTTTGGCCACGTCTCACGACAAAGTTAATCACATGATGAATAATCCAACCGGGTGGGTTGAAATATTGAAGCTTTATTCCTTCCTCGGAGCTTTTTCTCCTTAAAAGAGTGCCACAAACCAAGCCATCTCTCCACGTTCTTTTCAATAGAATAAGAAAGTAATACTAACCCCTTTGAATTCCAACCACAAGTTTTTCCTCTTAACATCATAGAGTATTACCGTTGTCAATACCAATAATATCTTCCACTAACGAAGAGGCTTAAAAAAATTATTCACACTGTTGCTTAGTGTTTATCTAAACACTTAGCAAATAAATGGTTCTGTCGTGTCGCCATCAGGATGCAGAATACGAATACCCTCAACAAATAAAAGGCTTTGTATTTCGTACTGATTTTAAAATTAAATTAATTAAAATAAAAAATAAAAAAGACTTATAAGTCTTTAATGAACCACTGTAAACAGCTAAATAAGCATCAATAATCTGTTGAAAATACGAATCCTTATGTTGTAATGCTGTGTATGTCAACTTTAATTTATAAATGTGCTACCACATAGTAAGGTTAATATATTAAAAAGGTTTCAAAATAGTGAAGGGGAAGCAAAACACAGCAAAGATAATTGAGATGACGAACTCCGTGACCAAACTGGTAAAAAAAATATCCGAAGCTTAAATATCTTTACATCATAATCGTCACTAGGTTCGTCATTTTAGTCTCATTCCTCAAAAGTTCCTCGAGATGCAGGGAAAAGGAAGAGAGGAAAAGAAAATCATGAAAGTGGAATAAAATATGAAGGGCGAAGAGTCAGAATAGAATCACTCCAACCAAGACAGCTTATTTTAAAAGAAAGATAAGAAACCATGTGAGGTGTGCATCTAGTAGATGTCTAGGGTTTACAAATCAAAACTAAAAAGAGAAATGATATGCTATGTTACTCAATTCTGGAAGGCAAATATTGCGGTTGGCAAGCATAAACTAAGACTTGGTATTGCGTGGACTTGTATCATCCGATGGTTTCGTTTGACTAGCTCGCTTTTCATTATATCTTCTTTTAATCAAATGGAAACTTCTAGCTATGATATCCACAAATACCTCAAGTATCCGGGAAGAGGCATAATAGAGTATATATCTCGACTCTAACTGTATGAATTATGAATGTATTATCTCATGAGCAAAGAATTGATTATTTGGAGAAAATTATTCAATAAAGCTACCACATTGTGCTACTCACCCTTTTTAAACCCTTAGATACATGATGAACTTATGATCATTATTATTTTAATTTTCTCCTACATCCAAGGGTATAAAACCGTAAATCACATAATACCAGTCTACCAAAATAATTTATCCGGTTTTTGGTTATTGACAAGATCCTTGTATGTTTCTATATCATTTCTTGATAGGATTGACAATTTGCGATTTGGATTCTAGTTATGATCATCTTGAGGAAAGTGGTGATAGTAATGGCTAAAGGAACTAAATATTTTTTTATAAGTCTCTATCAACTCCCAAGACCAAAATAAAAATAAAACTTTTTCAAACTTTTAACACTTAATTCTTAAGATCAAGAGTGTCTCACAAACTTTTAACTATAACTATGAGCTCAAATTCACATCAAAACAAGAATATTTGATGGAGGTTGAAATGTTAAAATGATTAGTATAAGAAGTTGACGCCAGGTCATAGAAGAAGAGAAGAAACCGCCAGCCAAAAAAGATGTTCCAAGCATTAACATGATGGAGATTAATTATAAAAAATCCCGGGAGAAAAGTTAGTTGAAACCTAAATCCTATCAAATCAAACTGAAGCCCACGGGTTCAAAAAATTATCTCTTCAATGCCGTAATGCAAGGCAGCAGATACCGCCAATTGAAAATAGGATTCTTGCGCCATGTGGTCCAGAAAACCAGAATCCAAGCATATATATATATATATTTTTTAAGGAAAATTAGGTTGGATCACCAACGAGCGCTAGGTTGCAACCAAGCATGGGCGTTAGCATTCAACATGAGCGACGGTGGCAAGAGTGAGAGTTTGAGGAAGGAAAATCGTCGAAGGGTGTGTGGGTTGACCATTTGCATCTAAGACTGATTGTTACCGTGGCTACCGCCTGCTGGTTGTGTGGCATGGCTGTGTGGGTCGATTGTCGGCATCTAAGAGTGGGAATGAGAGAGGGAGGGACACGACACGAGCCAACATGGGTGACTAGGTGTGGTGTTAGGGTTATAACTACACACGTTGTAACATTTTAGTTTTATATATTTACTTTTTAAAATTAAGGAATTCAGCTCCGTTTGGTTGAACCAAACAAAGAAAAACTCAGCCCACAAACCAAACCCAACCGTACCAAATTTTGGCCTAGTAAAATATCAACCCAACCCAACCCAAACGGAAAATTTCTAACCCAACCCAAGCAGAAAAAATATATAACCTAACCTTTACCATTTGGGTTAGTGGTCCACCACATTATTTGTGCTATTTGTACACCTCTAATTGGGTTATTAGATTATTTGTACACCCCTATCCGTGATTTCAACCTTTCAACTATCCTAATATAGAAGTGCTAGAAATTCCAGCCATAATGAAAAAGAAGGGGAAAAATTACCAAAGATAATGTAAATGTTTAACCAATGGATTGTGATATTCTATATTAGTTGGGAAGGAAAACGAAATATCATGTATAAGGGTGTGGAGACATTTACCTGACAAACGCGTTTTAAAGCCTTGAGAGGAAGAAACCTGAAAGGTGCCCAAAGAGGAGATTATCTGCTAGCAATGGGTTTGGACTGTTACAAATGGTATCAAAGCCAGACACCGAACTATATGCCAAGAAGGAGACCGTTCCTCAAAGGGGGTAAGACATGAGGCGGTGTGCCAGTAAAGACGCTGGACCCCGAAGGAGGTAGATTTGGTAAGGGTCCCACATCGATTAGAAAAAGGAACGAGTGCCAGCGGGACGTTAGTCCTAAAGGGGGGTGGATTGTGATATCCCATTTTGGTTGGAGAGGAGAACAAGGGTGTAGAAATCTTTCTCTAGCATACGCATGTTAAAGTCTTGAGGGGAAGCCTGAAAGGGAAAGCTCAAAGAGGACCATTGCAGTGGGGTGGATTGTTACATGATATCATCTGAGATATTAAATTTCCGGCCATAAACATGCTATAGGATCAAATTAATTGTTTTATAAGATACTCGGAATCTATAAAGCTAACCTAAATATCCAAAATTATATATACGTAAATCTGAAAGTGTAGCAGTCGTGGGTTACAAAACTACAATCTCACTTTCCTACATGAATTCGCTAACAAGTAAAACCAATCAATCTTCAGTCTTATGGCAACTGGACAAAAGGGGCACGGAAAGGATGCTACAGGCCCATACTTTACAGTTTACATTGGAGCAAACAAAGTGTGAAAGGTTACTTAAGATCAATGTTTTTAAGGGCTGAAGGGGTGCACATATGTACTCCACATTTATTCAGATCAAACAAATGTGGAGTACATAGATCTACATATTAAGATATGTAAATAGACATCTAGGTCGAGAGTACAAATATGGCATGATAAGGATATCATATGTACATACTATACATATTTAGGTCGGATTACAATTTACAACGGGGTAAAATGGACTCATGCCTTTCAATTAAAGATTCTCTTATACATTTACATTTACATTTACACCTTTGCATATTCATCAAAATGCACTCGGGAATGCCAATCTAGAAAAGTGTCATCTCTGGCAGAGTAAAAGATCTTAAACGGTATTGGATGCTTAAAAGGGGGTCTGGAAGTAAGAAAGCCATATGCCCAGTTCCAAGGTTGCACCTATTGTACTTGAGATGGAACTTCTTAGCACAATTCTTTTCTTTCTTCGTTATGATCACCTCGGGTTTTCAGAGATTTTACCTTCTAACATTCTCCATTGCTCTCTGGTTCTTGTAGTATTGATTGGCAAAATTATTGCACTCTCGTTAATAAACAGGTTCTTGAATAATAAAGGTTGAGATGTAACTAGAATGGGTTGGCTTAGTAGATCTGATCATAGGAGCCATTTGAGATGAATTAATTGATCTTAGGAACTGCATAATCAATGGTTCTTAAGCCAATTCACTAAAGTTCTCATATCACTAGTGCCAATAAAGACCCTTGTAAATAGTAAATGGCCTTAAGAGAATTGATTCAAGTCATAGTGGTCACTTCCTTAGGACTTATTATCTTACTTGTTACTTTGACAGTTAAATGTCATAGGGTCGAGCAATTGTCTCCTAAGAATAGTCAAGGTACAAGTAAGTTGGCTTCACCTTATACAAATATTAAAAATATTATAATAATAGTGATGAGGAGGAGTTAAAAATTCAAATGTTCTATTGGGAAGAGATGGAAGCGATTAGAAAACAAGCATAATTTTCAAAATCTAAAAATCAAACTGCTATTAAAAAGTGGCTTCAATAAACAAATAATATTCAAACGAATCTTTAAAAATTCCAAATGATTATTCATTCGGTGAACAGAGCCAGCGTCCAGGTGATGTCCAAACACCAAGCCTAGACCCTACTAACCAATTCAGTGAAAATAATAATCCGTTAAATCATATTCTCCCATAGCTACTTACTTTTCGGCTCCTCATAAATCTATCCTTGAGAGGGTCAGTTAGATCTGAGGACTGAGAAATTCATCAAACTTGATTGTGATAGGAATATTTGTCTACAAAAAGGAAATCGGAAAGGGAAAACCACTCGCCTCCATTTACCTTTAACTTCAGTCCTCAATAACTAAGACGGCTAATCTACATGTATTTATAAACATTGATTGGTTCTACTCATGGAACCACAGATTTATCTCTCAACCAGGTCATTAATACTAAATCATCTGAAAGGATAGTACGTTAAGGCCATGTCCAATAATCCTTTGCCTCCCTAGGAAATGTGAGATTCATCCGAGTATATTGAGAATCGGTGTCCAGAAATTCTGAGTGTATGTGCATTGCATAAATAAGTGACTTTGTGATTCGTTTCCTTTTTTATTTTTGCATAATGGACACCAATTTCAAAAAAGAGTCATGTTGGACACTTTTTTTTTAAGACTTTTTGCTTGTGCTAATGACTTTATGCGCTATTCCCCAAATGAAGAACTTCACCTTTTTAGGGTGATATCCTTTCCATACTATCTTTGCTAGCGTGGGATTTATTGCTTCTACTTTTTGCCCCATGTTCATCATCAAGGATTTTGTAGAGTAGATCCAGTCAACGCTAGGGAGCCAAGTCAATGAGTCTACTTCATTTGACAATACCACTTGGGCAAGTCAAAGGCTTAATTCGGCTCATTTCGTTGCTTCGCCTTTAAGTTCCTACCAAGCTTCAAGTCTCAGAATTTGTTGACAGCATTCCAAGTTTCTTTGATCGTGACTTTTTTGGCTATGAGAGAGTCTGCACAAAAGTGGATATCGCAAGGCTAGCATGGCATTTTCAATCTATAAGTCAATCTCCAATGATGCGCTTCCTCCATCACCCACCGTATGGTGAATTCGGTTGATGATGAGGTTTTTATGTTTTTTTATATACTTCCCAGGCCCTTTTGCAGAAGATGAAAGGGGTTGATTTTTGCATGATGTAGGAGTATATTTAGCCTTTATAGGTTTTCTCCCCCAGGCATTTTCTTTGTAATGATATCTCCATATCTATTTTGCAATGAGAGGTTTGTTCTTATTTATCAAGAAAAGACTGAGTCCTCCCTTTTCTGTTGGGAGGTTTATAACATTCCATCGAATAAGGTGTAGGTCATCATTTCACATATAGTTTCAAGATAATCTTTCTATATCCAAAGTCACTTTTTATGGCACTTCAAATAGAGACATGAAGTGGGGAGGTTGGATAATGTGGCTTGTATTAGGGTGAGTCTTCCGCCTTTTAAAGTATAACATGATAACCATGTTGACAACCTTCTTTCTACTTTTTCAATAATAGTCTTCTAGAAGGAAAAAGATTTGTGACTTCCTCTAAAGGGTAATCTAAGGTATATATTCGGCCATTCACCCTTTTTACAACCATATATGCTAGCAAAATTTTCAATAATCTTTGTACTAATATTGATGCCCATAATCTTTATTTTTTTAGAGATTGATATTTTTTTCAGAGAATCTTTCAAAGGTTTTTCCTGTCTCGATCATGTTTTTTTATGAAAGAGACATACGTCAAATCAAAAAAGAGGATTGTATCATCTGCAAACTGAAGGTGGTTGATCCTTAAGTCTTCCTTACCAATTCGAAAACCTTTTATCTTCTCTTTTGTTTTCTGCTTTTGTCCGTAGGTGATTGAGACAATCCATTGCCATGATGAAAAGAAAAGGAGATAGTGGATCACCTTGTCGAAGACCTCGTATGGCATAAATCTTCCCTCTCAGTCTGATTAATCAAAATATAGAGGCGTGTACAAGAACTAGTCAAGCTCATACACTCACAGATTAATGATTAAAATTAATCATGTTTTCCAACCATTTCACCTGTCAGAAGTACAGTAACAGAAAAGGAAAGTATGCTTTCGTGGACCAAGATACAAACGCGTCTTGTGGGAGAACTAAAGAAAATTTTTGTTTCGTCATTTCCTATGAGAAACATAATTATAAATTCTTGGTAAACTAAAATGTGTTTTTGGTCGTGAATGGCTGATAAATCCAGCTTCATGTTTTCCCCACCTATGCCTCCTATGTCTCCTATCTGTCTAGAATTTACAACTTCTGATTTTAAAGACCAAAAATTCAGGTATAACGTATCTTACAACTCTACATTAACAAATAAAAAATCATTTCTTTCATTTATAGGATTATGATATTAAAAGATAGTTATATGACTGCCCATATAGATCACAAGATGATGTGAACAATATAAATGTGACAGTAAAAATTTGCAGTACTAAAAGACAAAAATAGATCATGCACAAACAAATTGGTATGCATTTTAAATATAAATGGTATAGGGAATAGATAGTACCAATTTCCTCATCAAAGAAAAATGATCTCTCTCTTTTTGCTGATTGAAGAGAATCTGAACCATGAACACAAATTTTTCTCTGATCCAAGCCATACATTGCAGTAATGCTGAAAAAATGCAAAAGAACCTTGTGAAAACCAAAACGAAAAATGAACTGGTAGCAACTATATTGACATCAGTATTGAATTCATGTCTTATACTCAGGAGGCAAAGCATATATATAGGGACAAAGATAAAAATTTATATGACCTGTTGGGATGTGTAGCCTTAGCTTTAGATGCATCCGTTGGCCCAATCATAGCACGCCAATCTGCGATTGGATTTTTGTTTCTCCAAAACCATAATGCAGGATCGCACGATTAGTGTTAGACATAGGAAGGACACCCAACTGAAATACAGGATTGCACGATTCTAGGATATTCCATGTTAGTTTAAAACCTTTACATAAAAAATCAGATTAAAAGTCCACCAGATTATTTTTAATGTCCTCTGCTATTCAAAGATCCACATTTCAACTAAGTTAAACTATTAGGTATGGCTTGAGGTGGAGAAGCACACTAACGAACATCTCTTAAGCTTGAAATACGTTTCATAAACTTCTCTATGTTGCTAATATTTTGACTGAAATTACTTGAAAAGAAAGTAAGATAAATAGTCATTGCATGAATTCGTAATCTCAATATCAGCATTTTCAAATTGTTGTTTCGAGTGCAACAGCTGTTCATGTGATTGCTGCATTAATCATGAGTGAAGATGATATCCACCACTTGCTAGAAAATTAAACAAGGAAAGCAGTTCAAATGCAAGCATAAAGAAGCAATAATAAAGATACTTTGAGGTACGACATCACTATTGATACGACAGTACCACAAAACTGTTGAGGAATGTTGGGAGGGAGTCCGACAATAGCTAACTAAGAGAATGATCCTGGGTTTATAAGTAAGAAATACATCTCCATTGGTATGAGGCCTTTTGGAAAAATCAAAAGCAAAACCACGAGAGCTTATGCTTAAATTGGACAATATCACACCATTGTGGAGGTTCGTGATTCCTAACAAAAATATATAAAATTATGCAAATGATTATTTCGAGAGGAAACTTGGCAACATTTCAAAGATTCAACACTTACCTTGTCATGTATTTGACCAGACTAGAAAGGAAGCTTCTTGACAAATGTTCAGCATAAAAGCGACTTGCTCTATCTTCATGCAATTCCATTATTCTTTCCTTCAAAATTCTGAAGCCTGACTTCAAAATGGCCAGTTTAATTCTATCAGTGTAGTTACCACGCAACCCATCTGGTTTTACCATAGCCAAAGTTTTCTCCATTTCCATACTTCCATTACTTGCGAACCTAAATTCATGCCATTCAATATTGTAAAATTATTTATTATGTGAATAAGAAGAAGGTCAAAAAAAGAAAAACAAGTTACAACGAGTAAAAATGTCAGAGTCTAACAGGTCAAAAAGCAAAGTGTCCCATAAAATATCACGATTTTAATATAATTGATGATAATACGGAGAAAGGGAGAAGGCAATTTAATGCTCGTGTCGCGACAATAATCTTCAACAGAAGGCAGCACAACCAAAAAAAGAAAACCATCTGACAGATAAAGGAAATAAGTGAAATTAATATCATTAAATTTAAAGGTACCAAAAAAGAAAACAGTTCCGAAATTGCTCAACAGAATCATCTATAGCTAATAAAAATGGATTTTCTTTCTTCTTCTTTCTTTTTCTATTTCTATTTCCATCGTTATTGATCGAATGTACATCCGATTAATTAAGTCATCCAACACGAATTCTACATTAAGATACAAGTAAACGATGTCAATATGTACCAAGTAAACTTTAGCTGCTATATCAAATTAGACGAAAACAGTACAACTATCGATGACGATGACAAATACTGGATTCCTTGGACCTAAGCAACCAGATGATCGAAAATTTTCAGAAGAAAACATGACGCCATAGCATTACGAACACGCCAGAAAAGCGATAGCGACGATGGAGAATAAAAAGAGATCCCGAAAACCGATAGAAAACTAAACAGATCATCATCTCCTAAGCAAAACTGCCATAACAACAATATAAATCGCATCAAAAGCACGGGAATCGACAAGACATTTCGCAATCGCATCAAGTTCGAAAAGAAAAAATCAACTGGTTTCAGAACATCCGAGGCCGCCATACCGGAAAACGAACTCAGTTATTCTCCAAAAAACTAAATGATACAGCAAAGCATACAATCCGTTTCAACAAATAGTCCGTAATTTCAAGAACGATAACTAATCCTGCAGTTTCTTAACCTCCGTTTTTTAGTTTACTCCATAACCGATTGAAACGCGTACCTGTGATTCGTAGAGCCGAGTTAGAGAAGGCGGAAGAAAGAGGACAGAAGCTCAAGCAGTTGCAGAATAATGTAATGGCGGGAAAGTTGAAAGCGGTACAAAATGAGGGGAGAGAGAGAGATAGAGAGGAAGAAGATGGCGGTAACTTGAAATTTACGGGAAAGCACCCTCGCCAATTTCTGAGATTGTTTTCTTTTTTAATATTAAATAATTAACAGTTAATTTTTTAATATTAATAAAATAAAATATTATATGTAAAATATGTATTTATTTATTTTTAAATATTTAATTAAAATTTGCGGAAAAATATCCAATTTTATTACAAAGAAAATTTTATTTTCATAATTGGGAAATAAATAAGATAGTGAATATACTAAACTTTAATACAATAGAATAGTCAAAATATTTTACAACTTTCTAATTTAAAATTTTAATTTAAGAATTCATAAAATAACAATATGTTTTAAAATTATTCAAATAACATATTTTTTTAAAAATTAAGATAAAATTTATGGAGAATTGTTTGTTAATTTATTTATATTACAAATAATGTGTTTAAAATAATATAAAATATATGAATAATCAATTTATTAGTTTATTCATATTATAAATAATGCGTTTAAAAATAATATAAAATATATAAATAGTTGTTTACTACTCATCCATGTTATAAATAATGTATTTTAATATAGCATGGAATATTTAGTTTTATTTTTATCTTTAAAAAAAATTATAAAATTAAAAGTAATATTGGTTTTCAGGATCATAAACTAAATAAACAATAAAATAATAAATAAAAAAAACAAAACAAAATAATAAAATCTATAAAAGACCCAAACAAAATGATAAAATATATAAAACCTATAAAAGACACTAAATAAAATGATAAGATATCTAAAAAAAACTAAATAATATAAATAAGCACAGTATGGTGTATGCACGGTTTGTTGGTTCAAGTTGTCAGATTCATTGTACACCCCTACATAGTACCTCTGCATCATATTTCTTGGACCAACGATCCATGAACATATGGTCATTCTTTCCACACTTGTAGCAAATACCATCAAATCTCTTCCCGTGAGAACTCTTGCTGTCGTTCTTCCGAGCTCTTCAAGGTTGTGCATTTCCTTGGTTACTTCTTTTTTTTGCCACCATTTTATTATTCACGTTTGGTAGACAACTTATTGTTGCTTCGACTTCCACCTGTTTAGAGTGATTCTTCTTCACTCTTTGATGTAATGTCTGCCATTTGTTTAAGCATGACTTATTGACTAGATAATAAATTTCCAAACTGGATGGTTGAGTGGACCATAATTATACAACAATAGCGAAGCTTCTATATTCTGGTCACAATTCGTAGATAATAATCTTCTTCTCCAATGACAGATTTCGAGTCTAGTTCATCAATCTCTTGGTAGATCGACTTGACTTTGTGGAAGTACTGAGCAATTGTCATGTCACGTTCTCTAGAAGTTGTGGCATTGTATCGTTCTTCTTTGGAAACAACATCACGAACGTGTCTCGTACTTCTTTCGGTGTCTTGTCATCTCAATTGTGTTCTAAAATCTCTTCTCCAATTGTGGTCTTCAAGGCAAACATTGTTATGCTTGCTTTAATTCTCCATTTGCACAAGACGCCATTAGGATCCTCCTCTAATGACGTAATTTCACTCCCTCCAACAACCTCCCAAGAGTCCTGCCTTTGTAAATAAGATATCATGCATGTTGCTTATGTGGTGTAGTTGTTGTTGAGTTTCTTGATTCCTCCAACGATTTAAAAATCACCCATCGTATTGACTATACTAGTAATACCAAACAATCTATTTTGACTCAAAATTTACAGAGTCATAGACTACTCATGACATAAAAGAACTCACCCACCAATAATCTCAATAAGTCTTTTGTGATTTGGAAGATCATACAGACATGCAATCATAGAGCATTACTAAGAATTCAAATAGATCAAACAATCTACGCTAATCTCGGTCTAATATCATATTGTTGAACACAACTCTTTGTGGGAAACACTTTTTATTAATATCAATCGATAAGAGATTACAAAATAGTCTGTAGAACACTACTACACATTGCTACTTGAGACTATTTGTGATTTGTTGGGTGAAAACTTTTGTAGAGTGGATGGACATTTATAATAGAGACGTCATGGTCATGCATGTCCAAGGCGTGTTGTGAATGGCCGCATGATAGATATCCTAGTCTTGCTTGTCCATGACGTGTTATCCATGGTTGCATGCTCGTTCCAAACCATTTTTACATGCTTTCATCCTAGACAAGTCTTTACCCTTTCATATTAAGTCAGTATGAGGGTGTATGACCGTTCACCAAAATCATGTCTACACCTGCAAGGGCTAAAATGTCCCAAGATGTACTATAAAAGGCTATGACTAGTTGTCAACTTCTTCCTACCTGATAGTTATATGTAGTAAGTCGTTGTTGTTACCTTTTTTGCTTACATTCCCATATAACAACACCATGTCCAATTTTTCAAATCCTGCTTTCAAAATTCTCTTATGAAATCTCTCTGTCCCGTTTTTCAAAACTTTTTTTCTTGAACCAGAGCCAGAGGCGAGCATACGTCGCTTGGTCGTAGGCGACACAAGAACGAATAGACTTAACTCACTCGTTGCTAGGAAGTGAGTGCCGCAGAATTGCAAGGTGCAGATTAATTTATTTTTAAAATATCTAACAATTTATTCATAAAATAGTTGAACATCTCTATTTCTAAATTATTTAAATCATTTTTTTAAAATCTCTAAATCTGTCGTTCTTAAAATACCTAAATCATTTTACTCAAATATAAATACAATAAGTTAGTCTATTTTAACATAAAATTCCATAAAAAAAAATACGGTTGATTTTTATTATTTAATGATTCAAACTCCGGACAAAAAACTTGTAGTTAATTTATTCATCTATCCACGTAAAAACTTTCATTAAATTTTAATTATAATTTTTATGCTAAAAAGTCTAAATAATTACAAATTTTAAAGAAGAGAAGAGAGTAAAATTTCAATTGGTGGCTAGTTTTAATTTTTTCCTCTAAAAAAATAAAATAAATCTTAAAAAAAAAAAAAAAAAAAAAAACCTTGGAAGCCACTTTTAGCCTGCCTGGTTTTCTTGATGAGAAAGTTTTTCGCGGCTTCTGTGCTCTAATTCTTCAAGCTCTCAATAACCATTTTCTCCACAGTCCTAATCCATCTGAACCAGAAGCCATGAGCCGTGGAAGTGGAGGAGGATACGATCGTCACATTACTATATTCTCCCCTGAAGGCCGCCTATTTCAAGTCGGTATGTTATGCAATCCTGTCCTCTTCGATCTTGTTTTTGTTTCCATCGAACCAGATGAACTGTCTTTTAGGGTTTTCTATTTTCAATTAATGTTTGTAAATCATTGCCTCTGAAGTGATTTAGCTAGACCTTTGAGTTTGAGTGGTGAAAACTCTCGGAAAAGAATATCTCCGTTCTGAAATGTGATGCTGTTTCTTAGAAGTGAATATTGTTGTCGAGAGAATTCATTTCGTGATTTGCAGACAGAATTTAGGGGAACGCATAATCGAATTTTGTATTTTATGTGCGACAATGAAGGTATAGGTGTAATGTAGTGTATGGCCTTTGATCTGTTAGTGATAGTTTTTTTGTAGAGTACGGTGTAATTTTGAAATATTTGGAAACTTTAGGCTGTATTCCCTGACAATCAAGATTTAACGTCTAGGATTGTTTTAGAAAGGACTGCGCAAGGAATTGCTTCCAGTCAGTAAATTGTTATAACATCCCAGACGCCTGCATTTTGATCGATCTTAGGTTTATCATGCATTTTTCCATTTGGTTTCGAGTTTTAGCTTTTCAACATTGTTATGTTTTCATGACTTGTTCATTTTGAAACGACCAACTAGAGTATGCATTCAAGGCTGTGAAATCTGCTGGAATTACCTCGATTGGCGTCAAAGGGAAGGATTCGGTTTGTGTTGTAACTCAGAAGAAGGTCCCTGTGAGTATTAATTGTTTGGCCGTGCCACTTCCTCGACTCTCGTGTACAATGCTCGACACTTTGGCTCCCTTATAGTAATTCCCATGTTTCTTGCAGGATAAACTTTTGGATCAGACAAGTGTCACTCACCTTTTCTCCATCACTAAGTATTTGGGCTTACTCGCCACTGGCATTACAGGTTTCTTTTATGTCTTTTTGCTTCATAGTTATTCAAGATAACATCATAATTCGAGAAAGATTCCTCATCTCTTGTTTGTATCAATTTTCAAATCTACCGATGGCAATGACAGAACTGTACTCATTAAGATAGCAGAATCTCATTAACTGGCTCAAGAAGAATCCCTTGACGTTATTCCTGAACTAGTCTTTTTATGTGTATGATGATGTCTATCATACTAATAATTTTCTCTACTCTACATTGTACTGTTATTAGTTCAAAGTACCACATAGTCCTTATCCACTTTGTATATGCCACTCAGCTGATGCCAGATCACTGGTTCAACAAGCAAGGAATGAAGCAGCAGAGTTTCGATTCCGATATGGCTATGAGATGCCTGTGGATGTTTTGGCTAAATGGTATTCTGATTATTTCCTTCCTTTTCGAGTAACCAATTGCTGAGGAAGTGCTGGTGTTTTATTTGTCTTCAGCTATGTGGCAATGGTCAACTATGTCAAAAAATCTCTTTCAAGTTTAGATCAAGGTTTTTAAGCATAAACACTTTTGTGGAAATATGTTGTTTTCAAAGTTAAATACGTGGACATCAATCAATGAGTTTTGGAAGGTGATTCAAGGAACTGGACTGATGATTTTGGAATCAATTCTTTTGCAGGATTGCTGATAAATCACAAGTCTATACCCAGCATGCTTACATGAGACCACTTGGAGTTGGTTAGTTTCTGCTTTATTTCTTATTTTAGATGCACTTGTGCTTGAAAGTTGAACATATTATACTAGTATCTGTTAGGGATTAGCTTTTGAGCAGGTCATTATTTATCCCTTAAATTTTCTTTTCCTTCTGGATTTTTTTTAGTGGCAATGGTTTTAGGCATTGACGATGAGTATGGGCCTCGCCTCTATAAATGCGATCCTGCTGGTCATTTCTTTGGTCACAAGGTACGTGACCTTTTATAAGAAAAATGACTGGGTTAGTAATTTTATGTCAATTTGCTATTTGTACATATGTCAAAAATATTATATTTCCCAATTGACGGATGCCACATTGGCAATTTTTTTTTTTAAAATGGCTTTCCAGTTGATGTTAGTAAAATAAGAAAAGAACCAAAGCTGTACAGATTGTTGTCAAACTAGCTTGTATCGGTGTGTATATGTGTGTGTATGTATATGTATGTATTGATTGGTGCGGTTTCTTAGGCTCTAGGGGGAGGATAACTTTTTTTTTTTAATATTGCTTCATCTTTTCTTTGCATCAATTTGAGGCTCCTAAAGAAGTAGAGGAAACATAAAGGAAAAAACCACGCTAGTATAGCTCAACTAACATAAAATATACGTCATGATCAAGAGGTCAGAGGTTTAAGTCTCCCATTTCACGAATTTTGTACTAAATAAATGAATAAATAACTCTGATACCGTCTTGCTTCTAAGTAAACTCTGTTCCAAATATCATTGATTTATATACAGGTACATTCTATTGTTTGAGGGCACCAGTATTTGATATAACGTCGTGATACGTAGGGCTTCATTCCTATTTCGAGTACATGCACTTGAGCTGCTACACAATCTACCTGATTTGATTGTTGCTTTAGTTGCTTCTCCCGCATACTTGTTTGGCATGTTTGTTATGTATTCCACTGCTTTCGTTTCTTTACCTGTTTACTTATTATTATTTGGTTACCCATGCGAATCCACTTGTGTGATTTAGGCCACTAGTGCTGGACTTAAGGAGCAGGAGGCTATTAATTTCCTGGAAAAGAAAATGAAGAATGATCCTGCTTTTACTTATGAGGAGACCGTGCAGGTAGATCTCATTTCATTTCAAAAGTTCAGACATTGTACCGGTCACGTAGTTTTCTCTTTTCCTTGCCTGAAAGTAATTTTTTCTCATTAACCATCATGGATTGGCTCTGTGGAAAATTATAAAAGGCTTCGGAGGGAATGAGTTCAAACCCTAATAAAAACCTTAGGGAAAGAGTTCAAACCATATTAAAGGGCATGGAGGGGAATGATTCCAAACCATGTATCGTGGCAGCTACCTCTGCCTAGGATTTTAATATTTAATGAGTTGCCTTGACAATTAAATGTAGTAGGGTCTTGTCTTGTGAGATAAATCGAGTTGCATACAAGCCAGCCTAGTCAGTCACCGAAAAAAATCGTTTTTTTTTAGTATTTGGGAATAACCCGTGTTTGTCCACAGTTATTTTTCCAAGAAAGAGAACGACTTAAATTGGAAATATTCTCTCAAGTAACTTTGGACCTGATTTCCCCTATTTGTTATTTTCATTTCATCTTCTTCCATTATGCACGGGTTTGATACAAGTGGCAACATATTTATGATTATGACTAATTTTTCACGTCAAATTCTTGTCTTAGACTGCAATTTCTGCACTTCAATCTGTTCTCCAAGAGGACTTCAAGGCCAATGAGATAGAGGTACTAAAATTTCATCGTTTCTTTATTTTCCACAAATTTGCTCCAGATTCTATTGAATGGAATGTTACATGATCGGTCTTAAATTCAAATTCTGATTTGACATGGTTGCTTCCACCATGTTGACAAGTTGTTATGTTATTGTCATTGCCATTATTCCACTTTATAAATGTTCTTTTCTGTCAATTGCACCATAATTATGACGATAACCCGAATGAATTCTCGACGTTTATAGGTGGGAGTTGTTAGGTCAGAGAATCCCATCTTCAAAGTGTTGAGCACCGAAGAAATTGATGAACATTTGACTGCCATTAGTGAGCGAGATTGATCTATGTTCTGCAAAAAAAAAAAAAACGAACTGAAGAAGTTGTAGAACATTCGACTGCAACAGATAGAAGAGATCAGTTGTCGATTCGTGCTATATATGCTACAAACAGTACAACATTCATCTTTAGAATTTGTATTTCAGAGGAATTCATCTTGTTACATGATTTAACGCACTTAAACTAAGTTTCTGTTAGCATATAGCATGAGAGGAAGTAGATTTTGAAGCGTCTCTCATTCATCATGGTAGAGAGAAAAACTCATGAAGTTAAGTTCCTCTGGGATAACTCTAAGCCTATAAAATGCAAGTTTTAGTTCTTATATTCAAAATTTAACCGACAGTCCTAATGTGTTCTTAAGAAAGATTATCAATGGAAGGAAGGTCTCTCGAGATCATCAATCATTTGACACACAAAAACCAAGTGAAGGATGGGTTTCCATATAGCCAAAAATTATTAGAGGGTCTTTTGTAACGACCCGATCCAGATCTACCGCTAGCCGATATTGTCTTCTTTGGGTTTTCCCTTTCAGGCTTCTCAAGGCTTTAAAACCCCATTCAGGCTTCTCAAGACTTTAAAACGTCTCTTAGGGGAAGGTTTCCACATCTGTTTTGTTCTCTTCCCTAACCAACGTGGGACATCACAATTCACCCCGCCTAGCATCCTCACTGACATTTGTTCCTTTCTCCAATTGATATGGGAGCGCCACCAAATCCACTCCCTTTGGGGTCAGCGTTCGTCGTAAGACCATGTATGGGGGCTGACGCCTGCCCAGTACCGAAAGGTCAAGGAAGTTGGTGACCTGATGACAGGGGAGCCGGCGATCGAAGCCCCGGTGAATGGCGGCCGTAACTTAGCTCTAATATCATTTGTAAGGACTCAGATCTACGCTAAGGGATATTGTTCTCTTTAGACTTTCCCTTTCAAGCTTTCTCTCTTTTTCTTTCGGGCTTTCCTCAAGGCTTTAAAACGCGTTAGAAAGGTTTCCACATTTTTATAAACAGTTTTTATTCTCTTTAACCATTGTGGAACATCAAAGTCTTTCTCGTAGAATAAAAAAAAAATTATTTGTTTTATTTGAGCATAAGATTTGATGGGAAAGGAATTGTGGAGCATTTGTTTGTGAAGGAATTTATAGTTTTTAAACTTACCATTTTAGACGGCTTTTTCAACATTGTATATGGAAAGCAAAAGCAATAATTTCAGCTACTTGAATCGGAAGTTCCTGGTTCACCAATTTCTCTCATTATTATTATTATAATAATATTTGAAATATTTCATTATTAACAATAGATATTATGGGACTCAGAAACCAGCCGACTCTGTCCCTCATCGAATCTTTTTCATCGCTCAGGTATATACCCCTGCATTTCAACTAATTTTAAAAATAAAAACAAGCTTTTAAAAATTTTCTTTTACTATATATATATATATATATTATATGATTTGTTCAATTAAATAATTTGTTTTAAATTTACACGTATTAAACATGGAATTTCATTGTACTACCCGAGATTTATTAAATATAATAATTGATTATGACCGTAATGTTCCTTAATATAAAATTTAATTATATAATAATTTAGGGTTCATCAAATTTGAACGTCAGATTATAAACTCAGTTGTTTGAATCATCAGTCTAACTAACTCAAAATTTATCCGATCAAACCCACGAGGGAAGTGAAAGAGAAGGAAAAGGAAAAAGAAATTACAACTAGGAAATTACGTGGAAGAATATTTCGAACGTAGCCGTTCCGTACAAGTTTGATGGAGTACACGTGGCCTAAAAACATTGGTTAGTTGATTATAGAAGAGGAAACCTTCCATAACAGCACACAATTTACTAACATTAGCCCGAACCCGGAACTGCTTAGCTGGCAGTCCATTATTCAACGGCTCAAAATTTTGACAGCAAAATTTGCTGACGTGGTCGAACCGAATTAGATCCTTTATAAACCCTTCGAAGTTTCATCTTCTTCTCAATCTCTCCTTCATAACTCCAAATCTCGCCCTTTCTCCTTCGCCGAACTTTCACTTCAAGATCTGCTAAGAAGACCGCGAAGAATCCACTTCGAAGATTCTGATTGTAATACAAGTGAGAGAGAGTTCGATTTTTCTTTGCGAAGACTCTGATCGGAACTGGTTCGTCTTGAGATTAGTTTAATTTTGAATTTGAAATGGTTTTCCTCTGTGAAATTTCATCAACTGATGATGAAGAAGGAAAGTGGGAAAAGGCGAGATAGCAGTGAAAGAATCCTTCGTAATTAGGCGGAGGGAGAAGGAAATTCTTGTATTATCTCTTTTTAATCTGCTTCTGTTGGTGAGTCCTCTCTTCGATTTTAGGAATTTCGAGATTTCTAGGGCTCTTCGTTGTTTATAGATCGTAGTGCAGTTGTTTCGAGATTTCTAGGGTTTTTCGTTGTTATAGATCGTAGTGTAGTCGTTTGATTTGTGTAACGCTGTTTTGATATCCTAATTTCAGATTCTGTTTGCGGAATCACATGTCGGTGACCGTTCTCAGCGATTCAGTCATCGAACCTCAAACAGCGTCAACGACGCTAATCGCTCACATGGAGGCGGAGTTCGTGAAATGCTATTGCTGCGGACTTACAGAGGAATGCACACCAGCGTACATAGAACGCGTTCGCGAGCGCTACAACGGGAATTGGATCTGCGGATTGTGTTCCGAGGCGATCAACTACGAAATCCTCCGTTCCGATAGACTAATCGCGGCGGAAGAAGCCATGGAAAATCACATGAACCTTTGCAAGAAGTTCACCGCATTGAAACCGCCTCCAAATCCGACGGTGCATTTGATTACGGCGATGCGACAGATTCTGAAGCGCAGTTTAGATTCTCCCTCACGAGGTTTGAGGTCGATGCCTGCTAGCCCCGCGAAGAAAAACTCTCGGCTGCTGTCGCTCGCTCGATCGGAAAGCTGTCTTTCTTCCCTCTCTGGTTCGTGAATCAATCATAAAAGGTACAAGGATTCCTTCCAAGGATCAAGTAAACACAAAATCTCAATCAAACTGAAAACAATGGGGATCCAATAATACTCTGTATTCCAAAAAAAAGAAAAAAAGAAAAAATAAATAAACTTATTGATCAAAAGCCTAAATTATACCTTACAACTTCATCCATGGCGGGTTTCATTATCAGTCAGAATCGGCAAATTTGGAACAATCTGGTTTATTTATTTTAAATAATAACAATAATAAAGAGAAAAAAGAGGGGTAATTGATAGTTTATAAAAGACAACATTTACAATTTGTCCTTCAAAAGCATCTCAATCCTTCCATCAATTCTGACATCTAATTTCATACAATCTTACAAATAGAACACCCAACTACCCTCTCAATTTTGTCTTTATTAACCATTAATATATTATTTATTTCTATGTATTAAAAATAGACTTTGTGCCATTATTTTCCTTTTTTTGTTTTTGGAAAAAAGAAATGAAGTGTTTTGGTAGGAGATTCTTCTTAATAATTGAACTAATGAGAGAAAATATAAATAATAATAATAATAATAATAATAAGAAAAAATATGATAATATAATGTTATTTTCTTTGATTTTGTCAACTTTTTAAGTTTCTATCCCAATGAATTATTGAAACTTAATGATTAATTCTTTTAATCTTTCTATTAATCATTCATACCGTTCCTTTCAATTTTATATTTATACAGATTTTTCTTCCTAAACACCTATCAATTTCTTATTCACATTATTAATTTTAATTTTATATATATATATATATATATATATATATCTTTAAAAAAATCTATGAAAATATGTGCATTATTTGTGACAAAGTTATTATATGGTTGGTGTAATGTGAAAAGAACGAAAACAATACAAAAGTTCGTCATTCCTATCTAATCAAATGAGTGATATGAACGAGGACAAATTGTTGATAAATTTGATTAAAAGCAGCCATAAATTTGACTAATTTGTCTTTTTTTTTTTAAAAAAATTATTATTCAAGAATAATAGGCTTAGAGAAAGTGAGCTAAAGTCGTAGTAGCTATCTCTACTATGGTTTAGTTAGTACCTCAACAACTAAATGAAGTCGAGACAAGTGGTTGTCCTGTGGATTAGTCGAGATGCGTGAAATTTGATCCTAACATAAAGCCATTATCGGATCTTAGTCAAAAGTTGGTAGAACAAGTAGGTTAAACCCTTTCTAAAAAGCACCAAAATGAACAAAGTGAGAAAAGACAGAAGAAAGATGAGAGATTGTTTGACTTTTAGTATTGACTCTCTTGCTTGGTGGTATTCTCGACTCACCAAGTTTCTCGGGCCTTCGTGTTCGGCTCGAATCAAATCTCTACTTTTGCTTTATCGAATAAGGTATGTGATTAGTTACTCATAAATATTGATTCTTTCGCTTTTAAGAGTCTGTTCTATTCACTCTCTTGCTTGGTAGTATCTTTTTGTTGGGTTACTAAACATACTGCCTATTTATAGCTTATTCAATTGTTATACACATTAAAAACTATATATGAAAATGGTCATATTGTTGGACATGACCCATGGCCGAAATATGTTTAAAACAAGTAAAGGAACAACTTGATTGGAGAGATCTTTTGGAGCAAAGAATCATTAAGCGCTTCGCTTTTCAATTCTCTTTGTTGTTGTTGTGGAAAATGCATACATCTCATGAGTATTTATAGTGGAGAAAGTAGTAGCTAGTTCCTACAAGTTAAGAACCACTAACAATCTTTCTAATTAAAGCATAAAACTTGATGTTCATCTAGATCGAGTGTGTGCGTTGTTGTGCGATCCTAACAGATGACATCAGAGCTAGAAGAGATTCACCACGATCCATGAAGATGAAAAGTCCAAATATTGGAATTGAAAAGTTTGATGGATCTTATTCTAGTTTTTTAGAGATGTAGATTGAAGGTTATTTATACTAGAAAGATCTTCACGAACCCCTATTGGGGGTAAAGCCTGATACCATGACCATGGAGCAGTGAAAGCTCAACGACCATCAAATCCTAGGATTGATCGGGTTGATGCTGTCCAAAAACGTGGCGTTTAACATCATCAAGGAGAAGACAACGTCAGATCTGTTGAAGGTGCAGTCGAATATGTACGAAAAACCGTCGACTATGAACAATGATTGTTCAATCTACAAATGTCTAAAAGTGGATATGTTGCTGACGATATAAAGGAATTCAATATGATTGTAAGTCAATTGAGTTTGGTGGAAATTAATATAGAAGATGAAGTTAAAGCATTGATTTTGATGTCATCTTTACCCGAGTCGTGTGAGATTATTGTTGCTGCGATCAGCAGTTCTCGAAGATCTGAAAAACTGAAGTTTGATCAAATTCAAGATGTACTTCTCAGTGAAAGTATTCGCAAACGAGAAATTGATAATTCATCTAGTAGTGCTCTCGGTGTTGACCAAGAGGGAAGAAGTATATTGAAGGGCCAAAACAAGGGTAAATCAAAATCAAAGAACCATAAAAAAATTTCAAACAGACCAAACGTAACGTGTTCGAATTGTGAAGAAAAATGTCACTTTTGGACGGATTGTACACTACCAATGAGAAAGCAAAATCACAAATCGGGGATGACGATTCTATAAATTCAACAAAAGACATTGGAGATGCTTTAATTCTTAGCTTGGACAGCTCGATTTATCCTATATTTTGGATTTAGGTGCATCTTTTCATTTGTCTCCAAATAAATAGTTTTTTCAAAAATTTAAAATCTGGAAAATTTCGAGAAAGCGTATCTTGCCAACAACAAAGCCTTGGAGTTTGAAAGAAATGGTGATGTCTTCTTAAAAAGTCCCGTAGAAATGGTGATGCTCTATTCCTACTGTTAAGGATATTTAGTAATAAATTATAGTTTCCCATATATATTATATTTGATATTTTATTATAAGGCAAATATCTAATATTTGCGTTATTATCATAGGTATTTTCCATTTATTGTTATTTCCATTTATTACTATTTCCATATCCTTGTAATTCATTTGATTATAAATAAGATAACTTTCACACCATTTAGGTCGGGTGGATTAATCAAACATTCACATGGTATCAGAGCCCTCTCGGTTTAACAACCCCGATCCTTTCTTTTCAATGGCTTTTGAATCCTCTAATCTTCTTCTCCACCACCCCTGCTGGTTTTGACGCCGCAGGGGCAGTCTTCATGGTTGTCGTAGTCGGAGCCGATTGATTACTCTTCGGCTCCACCCTATTGACCTCCAAATCACCTTTCGTCATACTCTGTACATACAACCTCACCTTTTCCAACCCAATCGGTTTTCCCCTTGGCCAATATAGTCTCTCTCATTTTCTTCCCAATCAACCTTCATTCTTCACATAAACCCTAACATAAACCTATCACCTTTTGCAGAGATTTACCTTCGAAATCTGGGTGCCGCACTGGCCTATTCGCCAACCAAGTTGCCGCCGCCCTTCCTGCCAAAATTGGCTTCTTCGCCCGATGAGGCGACTCTTCCGACTGCCCTTCTCGCCAAAATTGGATTCTTCGCCCAATGTGGCGACTCTTCCGGCTTCAACATTGTCTTTGTCCCTTGCTCTAGGTTTCCTCTTCTACTTCTTGGGGTTAGAAATATTCTCACCAGAGCCAAGGCAGCATCGTCGCTAAGCGACAATCCCTCTTCATGGGTTAGACATATTTTCGCCGAAGCCAAGGCAGCATCGCCGCTGAGCGGCGATCCCTCTGCAATTTTTGATGNCCAAGAACCGGGTTGTTAGCATCTTCATGAAAAGTGTTTCTCAACCTCTTTGAATTTTTCAGATTCAAGCTTCACGTTCGTTTAAATCCGACGCTTAGCTTGCGGTGGGGTGTTAAGGATATTTAGTAATAAATTATAGTTTACCATATATATTATATTTGATATTTTATTATAAGGCAAATATCTAATATTTGCCTTATTATCATAGGTATCTTTCCATTTATTGTTATTTCCATTTATTACTATTTCCATATCCTTGTAATTCATTTGATTATAAATAAGATAACTTTCACACCATTTAGGTGTGGTGGATTAATCAAACATTCACATCGTATCAGAGCCCTCTCGGTTTAACAACCCCGATCCTTTCTTTTCAATGGCTTTTGAATCCTCTAATCTTCTTCTCCACCACCCCTGCTGGTTTTGACGCCGCAGGGGCAGTCTTCATGGTTGTCGTAGTCGGAGCCGATTGATTACTCTTCGGCTCCACCCTATTGACCTCCAAATCACCTTTCGTCATACTCTGTACATACAACCTCACCTTTTCCAACCCAATCGGTTTTCCCCTTGGCCAATATAGTCTCTCTCATTTTCTTCCCAATCAACCTTCATTCTTCACATAAACCCTAACATAAACCTATCACCTTTTGCAGAGATTTACCTTCGAAATCTGGGTGCCGCACTCGCCTATTCGCCAACCAAGTTGCCGCCGCCCTTCCTGCCAAAATTGGCTTCTTCGCCCGATGAGGCGACTCTTCCGACTGCCCTTCTCGCCAAAATTGGATTCTTCGCCCAATGTGGCGACTCTTCCGGCTTCAACATTGTCTTTGTCCCTTGCTCTAGGTTTCCTCTTCTACTTCTTGGGGTTAGAAATATTCTCACCAGAGCCAAGGCAGCATCGTCGCTAAGCGACAATCCCTCTTCATGGGTTAGACATATTTTCGCCGAAGCCAAGGCAGCATCGCCGCTGAGCGGCGATCCCTCTGCAAATTTTTGATGGCCAAGAACCGGGTTGTTAGCATCTTCATGAAAAGTGTTTCTCAACCTCTTTGAATTTTTCAGATTCAAGCTTCACGTTCGTTTAAATCCGACATTTAGCTTGCGGTGGGTTGTTAAGGATATTTAGTAATAAATTATAGTTTACCATATATATTATATTTGATATTTTATTATAATGCAAATATCTGATATTTGCCTTATTATCGTAGGTATCTTTCCATTTATTATTATTTTCATATCCTTATAATTTATTTGATTATAAATAAGATAACTTTCACACCATTTAGGTGTGGTGGATTAATCAAACATTCACACCTACGTGCACGTTTTTTCTTCTTTTCTTTGTTTCCATCCAGATTGAGTGTGTGTTGTTGTACAATCATAACACTTTTCCCTTTGCTTGTAGATATATTTGTAGCATATCGGCGTGCGTTGAACTATTCTAAACTGCGTATTTTTCATATGCTATAATAATATTTTGAGATGGATTAGTTAACGAGGAAGCTAAGTGTGAGATCCCACATCAGTTGAAAAGGGGAACAAAACATTACTTACAAAAGTGAGAAAATCTCTCCCTAATAGACGTGTTTTAAATAATCGTAAGGTTAATGACGATACGTAACAGGCCAAAACGGTTGGATAATATCTGCTAATGGTTCAACTACTAATTCTTACCAACAATTTATTTATTAGAAACATGACATCAAATAATTCGTTCAACTACGATACGTTCCAAGTTGAGCGTCCTACTTCCCGACTGTCCCACAAGAAGTTCAAGAAACATAATGGAGAAATCGTAAACGAGTCTGAATGTGATTATTTTTGTCGAGAATTGGAGATTGAAACGGAAATGAATCAATACGTTTCACATTAGGATGAACCCTATTTGTCCATTTTATAATATCTTTTAACCAACTATAAATCATCCTAAAATAGGAACAATTTTGATAATCTTGACCGTTTATACATAGCTTTTGATTTGAAAAATGCTCATATTTCTTGAATTTGATCCAAATTTGCAAAGTTTGATACACAATTAGCTCGTGGGTTGTATAAATGACAGATGCGTCTTGTTCATTGTTTTCTTCATCTTCTCTCTCGATGAATCTGGATAGCCGTTCCAACGACTTTAACTCATAAATGAGCTATCAACTTTTAAGATAATAATTAGCTATGAGATCCCACGTCGGCTGGAGAAGATAACAAAATATTAATTAAACTTGTCCGTGTTTTAAAACCATGAAGCTGACAATGAGGACACTGGATCTCTAAAGAGGGTAGATTGTGAGATCACACATCAGTTAGAAAAGAGAATGAAACATTTACTTATAACGATATGAAAATCTCTCCCTATTAAACACGTTTTAAAATTGTGATCTAACTATTACAAATAGTATTAAAGTCAGTCCCGAAGCCGTATGAATTGGTTAATGTGTTAACTTATAATTTTTTTTAATCAATTCAAATAAAGTATCAATAAATCCACCGTTGTCGCATAAATATCAATGATATTAGAGTACAAAATATTAATTTAAACTCTATAAATAATAAAGTAAATTCAAAAAACGACAAAAGATAATAATAATAACGATATATAATATATAATATGTTTTAAATTATAAGGTATTGTAAAATAATAACGATATAATTTTTTGGCATATAAAAACACATCTGTAATTTAATTATTAAACACATTTTTAATATTTATTTAAATATGATTTATTTTCTAAATCTGCTACTCATTACCTTTTTTGTCTAAAATAAATATTAAATATTTTATTTATTTCACAAATACTATTATTTAAATTTTTGAATATTATTATTTATGATCCTTAGAATTTCTAGTTACTTTTTTAATTATAATTTTAAAACTAATAGCATGTAATAAATAATTTGGGTATAATTTAAATGATAATGACATTTATTATTGTTGTAAAGTTGAATCAATACATTAATTATTATTATTATTATAAAGTTGATATTAAATCTCTAATAATTAATAAAAATCAGACTGATAAATTATTTTTAATTCATCATTTTATTTAATGAGAGATGCATTATTTTTATTAAAGATATTATTATTTTGCTATAAAAAGACAATTTACGAAATATTCGTGTATTTTTTAAAAGAAAAAAAAAAGTACTTTTAAAAATACCCACCAATGTCTTATCATTATTCAGGACGTAGACGATTCCTCCCCGTCCATGAAGAATCTTTATCTGATGACGTGTCGCCCATTCATTGGTTGTCTCATTCTATATATTTTTTAAATGGGGGACCCACATTCGGCTAATTAATTATTTTGGTCTCGTAAATTAAAAATCTGACATAATAATAAGATTGAATTTGATTTTTATTTTATCTTTAAATATAAAATATAAAAAAAAAACATATTAATTTTAAATTAAGATATTTATTTTATCTATTTTCAAACATTTAATTCATATTTATAATTTAATTTTAATATATATTTTGAAAAAATATTAAACTTTAATTACTTTTAATACATTTTAATTTATTTGAATCGAATAAAACTAAATAAGTTTGTTACAAACTCCAAACGTACAATTAACAAATATCTAAAAAATAACAAATAAATAACAATAAGCTGACGTGGAATAAAGTGGACCTTATAAAGTTGTTCATTTATATTTATTTACGTCGCCGGTGGCCCTTTGTGTCACATCTTCAATTGCTGAACAGAGGTCCTCCAATGGCGAATCTCCATCTCTGTTCCTCAGTTTTCTTCTTCCTCATCCTCTGTTTTGTTCCTGTAATTTTCTCTCGATCGCTGCAAAATCAGGAGACCTTCATTGTTCACGTTTCCAAATCGGAGAAGCCTGCGCTATTTTCCTCTCATCATCATTGGCACTCCTCCATTCTAGATTCACTCTCTCCTTCTCCTCATCCGACGAAGCTTCTTTACAACTACGAACTTGCCGCTAATGGTTTCTCTGCACGCATCACGGCTGCTCAGGCAGCGGAACTGCGTCGGATTCCCGGAGTTATTTCGGTGATTCCTGATCGAGTCCGTCAGCTTCATACGACTAGGACGCCTCATTTCTTAGGTTTGGCGGATAGCCAAGGGCTCTGGGCGGAGACTAATTATGCTGATGATGTGATTATTGGCGTTCTAGATACTGGAATTTGGCCGGAACGACCGAGTTTCTCCGATGAGGGACTTTCTCCGGTTCCGGCAACATGGAAAGGCACCTGTCAGACCGGGGTAGGGTTTTCGGCTTCGGCCTGTAATCGGAAGATTATTGGTGCGAGAGCCTACTTTTCCGGATACGAGTCTGCTGTACGAAGATCGCTTCAAGGTTCATCAGATTTCAAATCTGCTAGGGATACGGACGGCCATGGGACTCACACTGCCTCTACAGCTGCAGGTTCGTTCGTCAAGAACGCGAGTTTTTTTCAATACGCTCGTGGAGAAGCTAGAGGCATGGCGAACAGAGCTCGTATTGCTGCCTACAAAATCTGCTGGGAACTTGGTTGTTACGATTCTGACATCCTCGCCGCTATGGATCAGGCGATTGCTGATGGAGTCCACATCATCTCTCTCTCAGTCGGATCCTCCGGTCGGCCCCCTGCGTACTATCGAGATTCTATCGCAATCGGAGCATTCGGCGCGATGCAGCACGGCGTTGTCGTCTCTTGCTCCGCTGGAAACTCTGGTCCCGGTCCCTATACGGCTGTGAACATCGCTCCATGGATCATCACCGTCGGTGCCTCCACAATCGACAGAGAATTTCTCGCCGATGTGATTCTCGGAGACGGTAGGGTTTTCAGCGGCGTATCGCTCTATTCCGGCGATCCTCTTGGTGATTCCAAGCTTCCGTTGGTCTATGCTGGAGATTGTGGTAACAGGTATTGTTATTCGGGAACTCTCGATTCGTCGAAAGTCGCCGGGAAGATCGTCGTGTGTGATCGGGGAGGGAACGCCAGAGTCGCCAAAGGAAGTACCGTGAAAACCGCCGGTGGTCTTGGTATGATACTCGCCAATACGGAGGAAAACGGCGAAGAGCTCTTAGCAGATTCACATCTTATTCCGGGAACTATGATCGGAGAAATCGCCGGTAACACACTTAAAGACTACATCCATTCAGATCCGAGTCCCACTGCTACAATCGTGTTTCGCGGAACTGTAATCGGCGATTCGCCTCCTGCTCCGAGAGTCGCAGCCTTCTCCAGCCGCGGCCCGAACTTCAGGACGGCGGAGATTCTGAAACCAGACGTAATAGCTCCGGGAGTTAACATTTTGGCCGGCTGGAGTGGCTACAGCAGTCCAACCAGTCTAAGCATCGATCCGCGAAGAGTCGAGTTCAATATCATCTCCGGAACTTCAATGTCTTGCCCTCACGTCAGCGGCGTCGCCGCCTTGCTCCGGAAGGCTTTTCCAACGTGGTCGCCCGCGGCAATCAAATCTGCTCTCGTCACCACTTCTTACTCTTTGGACTCTTCCGGCCGCCCAATCACAGATCTCTCCACCAGCAAACAATCAAATCCGTTCGTTCATGGTGCCGGCCACATCGATCCCAACAAAGCTCTGAATCCGGGCCTGATTTATGATCTCAATCCTCAGGACTACGTTTCATTTCTCTGCTCGATTGGTTACGATTCTCGCCAAATAGCTGTTTTCGTGAAGGATTCTCCATACGCCGAACTTTGTAAACACAAATTGACCAGCCCTGGTAATCTGAACTACCCATCCTTCGCCGTCGTGTTCGATTCCGACGGCGACGAGGTGGTGAAATACACAAGAACTGTCACAAATGTCGGAGACGAAGTTGATGCTGTTTATGAAGTGAAAGTAGAATCCCCAGAAGGAGTGGAAATCACTGTTCTTCCAAACAAGCTGGAGTTCAGCGCAAAGAATCGGACACAGTCTTATGAGATTACATTCACCAAAATCAATGGAATCAAGAACTCAGCAAGCTTCGGGTCAATTCAATGGAGTGATGGAAGTCACATTGTTAGGAGTCCAGTAGCTGTCTCGTTCAACAGTGGATACATAGCATCAATGTAAGGTATGTTTGTTGATATTGAATAGGAATTTTAGAAGTAACCTTGGTGTCCGCCATTGTAGGTGGGTTCCAAAGCTCCTCATGCTGTTCATTTAGATTATTCTGAATCGTATGGAACAGTATGAAACTTTATAATAATCTTCGATATCTGAAACTCAAAGGCAATGGCAACATTGATCTTCATCCTTGTGTGATGTGAATCTCCATTGAAATTGATTCTTGTAGCTTGAAAGCTGAAACAGAATTAGGATCAAAGTGGGATAAACGGGAATCTGTCTCATGAATTCTAAAGCATAGACAACGTTCCATTCCTGTTCTGTTTGGAAGACAAGAAAATATTGGAAAGAGTTTTATTTTGAAATAGGTTAAATATCACTTTTTTTTTTTATATGTTTGTGTTTGTGCCTCAAAAAGTTATAAAGGAAGATGACTAATTTAAGTGGGTGGGGGAGAATGTCACGACCATTATAATGGAGAGAGTAGGTATTGACCTTTATGTTGAGAGAAATAAAGTGGCGACTCACAAGAGGCGTCGTCAATTCTTCCTACCCTGACTCATATGTTGTTTAAGCTTGGTATTTATTTTTTTACTTATTACCCTATAATATTGGTTTCAATTCATTCAAATCTGACTCTCAAACTCTCTTTTTAGAAGCTCTTTGTCCCGGTTTTCTAGAACTTTCTTTTCTAAGTGGGGCCAAATAAGTCGTGAGGCTGAAAAGGACACAATTTTAAGTTGACTGACTCACTCGGTGATGAGAGTGGATACTAAGAACTGCTCAAAAAAGAAGAGTACATTTCGTTCGATACTCTTCCCATGCTTTAGAAGGTCACCATCATAGATTTGGAATTCTAAGTGAAGGGATAAAAGAGAAGGAAAAGAATTTGAATTTGACTTTATACTTAACTTCCCACCAAAGTTTTAACAATTTGAATTTGACTTTATACCGATTAAAATTTTACAAAGCAACCATGTTAGGTTTGTTGGATGATAAAAGTCCCACATCGGCTAATTTAGGGAATGATCATAAGTTTATAAGTGAGAAATATTAACTTCATTGGTATGAGACCTTTTGGGGAGCTCAAAGCAAAACCATGAGAACTTATACTCAAAGTGGATAATATCATACCATTGTGGAGAGTCGTGTTTGTCTAACAAGGTCGACTTCTAATAATTTGGGGTCTCAATTTCTATATTATAAAGGGTAGGAGTAACTATGAACACTACCTCCCAGTTGAATTGAAATCGATATTGGATAACGAGGTTTGCTTTAATTTGTGATTTTCTTCCTCAAACTGTATTTCCAATCATACTTGACAGTGACAGCTACAGAACTCGAAACGAGGGAAGAAGAAGGATGGTGGTAGCTAGATTGGCCTAGTTATTTATCTTTCTTTTTTTTTTTTTTGTTTGTTTTTTTAGGTTCGATTTATGTTCTCTCGCTCTTCTCCCTCTTAGTCGAGTTGCTTCGCTTCTTCCCCTTGTTAACTCCGTAAAGCAATTTCATTGCCTGAATCTCGTCAACTCGGTAAACCTGCTTCGCTTCTTGCTTGCGGAGCGGCATACGAGATTTTGAAATTCTAGTTTTAATCTCACAATTATATTTAAAATTATACAACACATTTACTTAAAGATATCTATTTAATCTGCGAGATTCACTGAGAATGGAAAGAGATTCCTTCTCTATTAGATAAATAAGGTCGTGAACAGGGATTATATTTCTCGTCCTCCTTACCTCTTCTTACCTAGTTTTCTGACTTATCGCGCTTAATATAAATATAATTTGGAACCCTTACTTTGATCTCCCTTAAAATAAATAGAATAATCGTATAGATATCATTACATTTATTTTTATTTATTACTTAACCTAATTTATAATAAACTCAACTAACATAAAATTATAATATTAAATAAAAATAAAATAAATATATGTATATATCAATCATAACTAAAAATGTATATTTTAAAATTAACGTTAAATTTTGGTTTGATTTAAATTCAATTTCGTTTGAATTAACAACAAATTTTAGTACAAGTAAGGTATTTAAAAAAAAACTAAAAATATAGATTTATTATTATTATTGTACATATTCTCGTGCTCTATTATAATAACAAAGACTTTTAATCAATTCGAGTCACTGCATTAAAGAAAATAAATTATTTGAGTATTATTCATGTTTTAGGTGAGCCGAGTCAACTATTGACTTAGGTAATATCAACGTCACATAACCTTTTCTAGTTAAGAATTTCACTATTATAAGATTAGACCGGCTTTAATCTAATTTGTTGACAAATAAAACGCAACAATTTTAAAATTTTAATTTCATATTTATTGAGTTGAGAATTGAAATGAAAGCAAATCGTATCAATATGGTATTGAAGTGCTTAGACAAGAAGTATCGGGTTGAGTTACGATATAATTGCACCTACGGATGAGACTCGTTCTACTATTTATAGGATTTCCTTGGTCAGTTAGTTCGTGTCTAAGACGACAACGGAACATTGTGGGTAACAACCAGTACTTGGTTGGTGCTTAGAGGTTGGTGTCCTCTCAATCACAACCTCCATGGTTGGTCCCTTGACCGTGACATTAAGATTTTTATTTATTTAATAATTAATTTTTTTTTTCAACTCTAATAATCCAAAAACAATTTTATTAAAAAAAATAAAACTAAATATCAACTTGTACGACACACTTTTATTTATTTAAGCTTCAATTAATTGATTCATTAAACAAAAACCCACTTGCAAAAGCCAAAAAAAAAAAAAAAAAAAAAAAATAATTAATTAATTAATTAATTAATTAATTGAATTTTCAAAAAAGGTAATAAATCNCAATTTTATTAAAAAAAATAAAACTAAATATCAACTTGTACGACACACTTTTATTTATTTAAGCTTCAATTAATTGATTCATTAAACAAAAACCCACTTGCAAAAGCCAAAAAAAAAAAAAAAAAAAAGAAGTAATTAATTAATTAATTAATTAATTAATTTCATTTTCAAAAAAGGTAATAAATCCAGAAAAGATATAATTATAAATAAAACCACACCCCTAAAATCTCTCACACACTTCTTCAACATGGCTCAGTCTCGCGAATCTGAGCCCAGAGCCGTGGCCCAATCCCTCCTCCACTCCAGCCACCGTCGGGCGCACCACCGCTGGATCCATCTTCGGCGGAAGAGGCTGCCGATAGTCCGTCTCGGCGGCGAAAGGCCGCCTCGAGCGGCGGCGCATTGGAGGTCGATTCGATTTAGAAAATGGCTGATGAAGATCCGATGCGATTGTCTGGTGAAGAAACTGAAGCAATTGTTCGGAAAAGACACTGGCTGCGGCGGCGACGGCGGCGGCGGATTTGATGCTTTTTTGAAAAGGATTCTAATGGAGATTTCTTTGGCCGTTCCTGTTCTTGGTGCCTCTCTCGCTTTTTAAATTATGCTCATGTTTGCTTAATCAAATTCTTAATCATTTTGATTAAGATTAATTACTTGGTCAAACCTTGCATTAATTTTTTACTTAATTCAAGTTTTATGTGAATTTTAACCATGCATTTTGCTTAATTTGGCAACCTAATTTCATCTTTCTTTATAACACAAATTCAATTAAATACTCACCCATTTTATTTTAATTAAGAATAAGTCAAATATAGTAATGCATTTTCTTCCTCAAGGCCCAACTCAAATTGGGCTTCACATTCTAACAAGCTTTTCAAGGCCCAATCCTATATGGGCCTCACGTCTACATTAGTCCCTCGAGGCCCAAATTCTTATGGGCTTCAAGCCCTCCATCATCATCATGGATAGAACTGAATATTGACTTTCTTTTTCACCTTTTGCTTCAAAGTTTTTAAAACGCGTTTATTAGGGTTAAAAAACGCTAGCAAAAAGTTCAAAAAATGTGGAATCTCATAATTCACCCTTATAGTCCACCCACATCAGTGTATTCACTAGCATTCGTTACTCTCTACAATCGATGCGGGATCTAACAGTCCACCCCCTTCAAGACCTAACGCATTCGTTGACACTTGTTCCTCTCTCCAATCAATGTGCAATCCGACAATCCACCTCTCCTCCGAGACCCATCGTCTTCACTAGCACTCATTACTATCTCTCCAATCGATGCGGGATCTCATGGTCAGCCCCTTTGAGACCCACCGTCCTCGTTGACACTCATTGTTCACTCTAATACGAGATCACACAAAATAAAATCAGACCTTAACACGGGTAACCAGGGTTTAATTTTGAAGTAATTTGTGTGCTTAATTATATAGAATTAGAAAGGCTAATAATTGGGAAACTATAATGATTAAGATGATGACTTTGAAGTATAAAATTAAAAAAAAAAAAAAAAAACATTAAATATGGAGAAATTAATTAATATTTTAAAAACAAAAATAATGGTAATAAAAAAAAACGTGGCAGGATTATTTAAACGTTATAGAACCAAAGACATACAAATGGCTGGTCCAAAGGAATGACTTCAAAATTACTTGGAATGGGTAGAGGATAATGCATGTATCTTCCTTTTTTATAGTATTTTTTTTTTTTTTTTGTTTTTATTCATTTTATTTGAAGATATTTAATAATTTCGGTCAAATTCATAGTATATGTTTTTATTATACTCTTTAAGAATTCATTTATTTTATTTTAATGTTTTAATATTTAAAAAATACCATTTTAATATTAATATTTTTTATTTTTTGATTATTTATTTTCAAGCCGCTGAAAAGCAATTTTGTTGGAAAATTAATAAATAATTAATTGTATTACCTAACATTTTATTTTTATTATAAACAAACATTTAAATTCAATACAAAATATATATAAAATGCTTTAGCCTTTTAAAATGGGTAAAGGGCATTTAATACACTTGGGTGCAATTGATAATTATTATTGCTGAATTTTATATAATTGAAAAATATTATAAAATAATGTATGGATTTGTTTATTAAAATAATGAAAAAAATAAATCTCAATTCACTCATAACCTATGCTAGTTTATAAAATAATAGTCACTATATTTTTTAGGCAATTTTTTTAATGGAATATTTCCACGTGTTATAAGATAATAATATTTTTTAATTAATGTGACGTACCAAATTATATAATCAATTGAATTATTTTCATACATAAAAAAAATATATGAGAAAATTATTTTTGGTAAATGAAAACTAAATGTTTTAGA